ATTCTTGAGCACTCGCTGGGCATCGAATGCCCTGCTAATATCCTTAAAACCCCCACAGTGTTCACAGTAGCTCTCCGAGGCGAGTGTAATTCCCTCTGTAGAGATGAGATCAGGGAGGCTCAGGACGATTAAGTGAAATCTCCCAGGTCACACAGCAAGTAAGTGACAAGAGTTGCAGGTGGAACCTAGAGCCATGCTTTTTTTTTTTTTTAAATCACAATCTTTCCCAAGAGGAGTAAGACTCGGTGGCAGCCAACAAGTCATGAGAGGGTGGTCACTCTCGGCGGCAGAAAGGGCAGCCAAAGGCAGGTGGAGCAGGCAGCTCTAAGGTGTGATGGGGTCCTCGGAGCTCTGTGAGCCCTGGGTAATTATTCGATGTGTACCCTGAGCGGGCAGACTTCCTCCAGTCTAGTCCCCAGGCATGGACATCCGTCCATCTCCCAGCTGCCTCCACACAAAGCCCCCCTCCCCGGGTCGCCTCAGCTGGCAGCTGTTGCTAGACTCCCTGATGGGATCAAACCTCGGCTGCTTTCCTGTGAAGACCTGGCTCCAACCTGCTTTCCAGCCCTCCGGAAACAGAAGCGTGTGTTTTCTCGCTGGGTCTGGGAAGTCGCTTCCCCCCACCTCACTTGTCCGTCCCCCAAGGAAGAGGCACTCCAATGGGGAGAAATCCTGACGCACAAGTGGAGTCCCCGGGAGGTGATGAGCCAGGAAGGCGGACGTGTGTGTACACAATACCTTCCAGGAGGGTAGGAAATGGGGCCCGCTACCTCCCCAGAACGCCAGGGACGTGTTTGTTGTTGGCCAGGAGAGACACGAAGGAGAGCAGGTGGGAACACACGAACAAGAGGAAGTCTGCAGTGGACAAAGGCAGACCCCTAGGTGGGAGGGTCCCTGAGTTTGGAGACCAGACCAGGAAGTGTCCGCTGAGAGCCTCCTCCATGCATGAACCAAGGACACGCAGAGCAGTGGTGTTGGGGGACCAGGGGGTGGGGGAGTCGGTCCTGCCGACGTGGGGCTGTGACCACCATTTCCTAAGCAGCAAAAGGCACCTCGGTGTCAGCAGGAAGCAGCTGGTGACACGGAGGTGCAGAGGTGTGACTAACAGGAGGGGAAGCACACTTCGTAAACTGTAAAATTCCATACACGAGTTGCTATTATTCTCCTGCAGAGCGTTAGCCTGGGAAATCTTAACGAGTGGCACGGCAGGTGACAGCACCGCGACAATGAACAGGGGCTGTCGGTGGAGGAAGCAGAGTCCTGCTCCGCCTTCCACGGCATGTCAGAGTCAGCGGGGAGGACCTCAGGCTCCTTAGGCCTCATCCAGATCCCTTTGCAGCGCGGCCAATGCCAAGTGCAGGCCCAGGAGGGAGCACTTCTTTTATCAGATGGAGACCTCTGCTTTGTCCATCCTTTCATGCAGGGAACCCCTCTTGATGGGGCACCTGCTGTGTGCCCAGTCCTATCTGAAGTGACCACAGCTGTGCTCAACCCGATAGAAGTATCCCTGGTGCTACGCTGCCTGGTCACTGTTGGATCCAGCAGAACATGGCCTGGCCCTGCTCCACCTCCCTGACCATGCCCCAGTCTGGTGTTACCGCCACTGCATGTTCTGTGTATTTCCTAACCTAAAGAGCTCCCCTTCCGGGAGTCAACCGAACCATGTTCTCTCGTTACCCAGGGGATTTTCACTGGCTCGTTTCCAAAGGTGAATCACCAGAACTTTGTCCTCCTGGTCTGTCTTAGTCTGGAAGCTCTGTTGAAACTCACCCACCCTGGTGGTCCTGGAAGTATCGGTGATCTCACCGCCTCTCACCGCCGGCATGATAGCCACAGAAGGGCCACCATGGTACAACCACCTGATGAGTGGCACGGGTGGTCCTACAAAGGCCCATCACATCAGGACCCATCGGGGGTTGTAACTGCAGCGATGGAGACAAGTGTGTTGACGGAACTGAAAGAGAGCAGGGAGAGTAGGGCATGCCGCCTGAAGGGAGCAATGGTCCCTGATGATGCTACACGTGGGCGGCGTCCAGACATACAGAACCTCAAGGAGCCCTTAGGAGTTTGGGCTTGATTTAGGATGATCAAATACCTAAACAAAGACTCCCACACCGGAGGTGCTGCCTGCTTTGGGTATAAAGTATGAAATGTATCCGGTGGACTGATACCAGGGATCCTTCAAGCTCGAGAAGCTGCAGTCATGAGATCAAAAGACTCGTTGTGTTAGGTCCATCCGCTGCCCAAGACCTCTTTGAGTACTGAAAAGCCAGGATGTTACTTTGAGGACTAGAGTTCACCGGAGCCAAGCCACGGTATTTTCCATTGCCTCGTATGTATGTGAAAGTTTGGACCGTTGAATGAGGAAGACCAAAGAAGAATCGATGTGTGTGAATTGTGGCACTGGCAGAGATGATTGAAAGCTAAAAGGACAAACATTGGTCTTAGAGGAAGAAGTCCGGCCAGCGTGCTCCTTAGAGTAAGGTGACCAGATTTTAACATTGCTAAAGCGGGACGCCAGCGGGACACCATCAATAAAACTCATATCCTGGCGAAATAGCCACATGGCAGCCGAAAACCGTCTACCCTAGCTTGTCATGCAGTCTTTCAAAAAATCGGGACTTTTTAAAAGCGCGGCGGGACGCGGGAAAATTGTTAGAAATCGGGACTGTCCCGCCAAAAGCGGGACGTCTAGTCACCTTACCTTAGAGGCAAGAATGGCAAGACTTCGTCTTACAGACTCTGGACACGTTGTCAGGTGAGACCAGCCGCTGAAAGTGGACATCACGCTTGGTAAAGCGAAGAAGAGGGAGGCCCTGGAGGAGCTGAACTGACACAGTGACTCCCACCGTGGACTTGGCCCCAGGAAGAGTTGGGAGGAGGGGGCAGGACCGTGCAGCGGGTCTCCTTCTGTTATGCAGAGGGTCCATGGGAATCGGAACTGACCCACCTCAAAACAACAAGCTGGAGAAGACAAAGGCAGGCTCGGAGTCTGACGTACTGCGTACATCAACGCCCCACACTGTCCCCCCTCTCCTGTGCCTGTGCACCTGCTTTTCCCTCCGCGGGGAAGGGTCTTATCATCTTTCTCCAGAGGACCCACTCCTACTCTCCCAAGGTTCAGTAGGGCACTGCCTCCCTAGGGAAGCCTTCTGTGTCTTTTCTACGCCCCAGGACAAAGGGCATAAAGAATGGGAATACGAGGCCCAAGGAATAAACCTGTGACTCGTCACAGTGACTGCTGGGCTTCCCGGTCAGATGCAGGGACCCAGACCTGCCGCCGTGGCACACTAGCTGTGAGCCTCGCCCTTCTTCCAGGTTGTAACCGTCTTCTCACTGTTGGCCTCCCACTAGACTGTGTTCTCCTGGGGGAGTGCCTTGATTGCAAAGGCCTCCCACCTAAGAGTCAGAAACACTTGAACGCACGGATGGTTTTCTCCGTCCCCGTTGGAAACCCCCAGTCAGCCTCCTTCAAGCCCTCGGTCATTGCCATCGAGGGAGTTGCGGAAGGGTTCTTTGCAGCCAGGTCAGGAGCGCCGGTACCTCCCAGCTCCGACACGAAGCCATCTCCCAGAGGAAAGATGTTTCCTGGCTCAAAGACAACCAAAGCAGGTGGTCTTAAAGTGCAGGGAAGGGGGTTCCTTGGGCAGTGGGTACAGCGAAGTCATTTTGCAGAAAAGGGGTCAGTCAGCTACGGCCTCCATCGGCGCAGGCCTTCTCCTGGGTCCTGGAACGGAGAGTCAAGAGACACTCAGGCTCGACGTCCTTTAGCCAGGAGCAGGTGTGATGGACGCAGAGACATGGAGAATGCTTGAGCTTTGAAGTGTGTCCTCTCTTGCTGCCCTTTGGAACCTTCTATCTCGTGAAGTAAGTCACCCCCAAGCAGCCCCACTGACCGGCGAGCTTCCTCACCACAGACTGGAAAAGCAGCTTTGCGCAGCAGCAGCTCAGACAGCGATAAAAGCCCCAGCCCCCGCCATCAGCCCTGGCAGACCTTTCCCACCCTCCATGAGGGCTGAAACCAGACTGCGTCCTTTTTGTGGAAGAGACTCCTACCTGGAGCCCAGGGTCTAGGTCTGTGACTTATACCTGCAATGGCCACTCGCATAAAAGACTACATTTCCCAGCCTCCCTTGCAGTTAGATGTGGCCACATGGCTGTTTTCGTGAGAGACATGAGTGGGAGCTAAGTCTTTAACTTCCAGGTTGTTCTCATACTTGGAAGAGAGCCACCTTGGACCCTATCGGCAAAGACAACACCTCAGAATGGGGGCACAGCTGCCTGGGAAGACTCGGGATTCTTGCTAAAGCGGGGTTCCCCAGGTCAGCTCAGAGCACTGTGAAGTGACACCACTGTTTAGGGTGCTTGCTCTGTAGCAGCTGCGGCTCATATCCTCCTGGCCTACGGAACAGAGTCAAGGCTGAGCTGCCCCTCCAGTTGAAGCCCCTCCAACTCCCCAGGGCCACCGAAGCTGCCCACTCACCAGGAGCTTCCACTGTCCCAGGGCAACAGAGCAGTGGCCTCCAGCCATCCTCAGGCCCACTTGCCGTTTTCTCAGACTGAGCTCCCGAGAGGTACTTAGAAGAACCTGCCACATTGCCAAGGGTGGGAAGAGGAGAGACCAGGGCTGGTAGTCCACCCCATACACACCCATATCCCTATGCCAGTTAAAAAAAAGGTGGAAACACTTCCAAGTTAGTGGATAAGTACCCACTGCCCTTAGCCACCCCGCCCCATGGGTGATCCCCGCCCCACCGCCACAGCCCCCTCTCCAGGCCCAGGGCCCTTTTCATTATAAGACCCTATCACTGATTAGATACTTGGACCATCGGGCTATCAGGTGCCTGGCCCCAACTGACCACAGGGAAGCTTCGAGGGTTGGCCTGGGTGATGAGAATTTTTGAGAGATTGAGAATCAAATTCCCACCTTCATCTTGCTTCCTCTCCTCCGCCTCTCAGTCAGACACAGCCACAAAAAACGCCACCCGACACACGCCAGGCCTTATTGCACTTTTATTTACAGAAAACACAGATAAAGCATTTCAAGGTTCATTTAGCAAACTGGTCCACTTTTTTTTTTTTTTTGGCACAAAGATATATCACAGATGGACCCCACGATCAATCAGAAAACCCAAAGATTCGTCAGCCATCACTGGTCCAGGAGGCAGCCACAAGATTCAGACAGAGACAGCACGGCCACAGATTGGGGAAGAAAAAAAAATCAACAAGGTGCACGTTCACCTCACAGTAAAAACCTGCTCACCGGCAGGCAAGGGTGGGCAGGAGGAGGCAGTATTTCTGCTCCAAGGGGTTGGGGGAGTGGGTACCGGGGCAGAGGCCGGGCTGGGAAGGAGGAGCTAGACACCATTCATAAATTAGAGAGGTGGTTCTTTAGTTTTTAACTCTTGTAGCAGTAAGACAGTGCAAAACTACGATACCCCGAAGACGCTTCCCTTAGAAAAGCTTGAGAAGTCGTGTGGTCTACTGGGCGCCTCTTTCCCTGTGCGTGGGTGCCCGTGTGTGTGCGTGTGTGTGGTGTGTGTGCACGCTTGCGCGCACGCGAGTGTGGTGTTTGTAAACATTATCACCATCCATGTAGAGACCCAACATCCGTGTGTCTGAATCGGGGTGGGGTGGGGGCCGGACCCCACTTCACGCCCCCCTCTGCCCCAATGATTCCCGTCCGAGACATAGTGCAAATTTCAGAGACAAAAGGAGGCAGAAAGGGGGAGTGGGGCGGGGAGGGAAGGTAGGGGGCAGGGGGTGGGAAGGACACAGAGACGGGAGGCGGGTCGAGGGAGGGGAAATAAGGCAACAGTTAAAGATGGTCCTTGTCCGCACACCGGACACTGGGGCAGGGCCCGCAGGCAGCACCCTGCGGTGCCCGCCTCACGAGAAGGGGCGGAAGTCCCGCTCCTCCACCAGGCTGACGGCGGGGTTCTTCAGCTCCTCCTCCGAGCTAGCCATCTTGTAGCCCAGCTGCGCCAGCACGCGCTGGCAGGCGTTCTGCGCAAAGGCCACGATGTCGTAGGAGAGGCGGAAGCGCCACTTCTCCGCGGTGGCGGCCGAGTTGCGCACGGTGCCATACTTGTGCTTGCCCAGCGCGGGGTCGCCGCGCGTGTTGTTCTGGATCCAGCGCACCACGTGGCTGCCCAGGGGGATGCCCAGGAACCCGTACATCTCCTCCGTCTTCTTCATGGGGTTCCGGGCCAGGTCCTCGTAGCGCACCAGCATGTACTTGCCCTTGAGCCACGGCGGCCGCATGAGGCCGGTGGACACGGAGTTGGAGAAGTCCTCGCACACCGTGGTCAGCTGCGTCACGTCCAGGTTATACGGCTTCCTCCCGGTGCCGTACCAGAGCCGCCAGAGCCGGTAGGTGTCCCGGAAGGTCTCGCTGCGGGAGGCCAGGATGCCCCGGGGGTCGCGGACCAGCTGTATGACCTTCAGGTTTAGCCGAGGGTCCTCGACCAGAGCCCGCAGGTCGTTGACCTCGGGGACCCGCACTGTCTTGATGGCCACGTGGCTGCGCTCGCGGCAGGCCTCAGCGGCCACGGTCAGGTTCAGCAGGCCGCACTTGCGCACGCAGTCGCCCTCCTCCAGGGCCGCGTCCGCAGGGCCCGGGGGCTCACACACGGGCCGGGAGCACAGGACCCTGCTGGCCCCCCGGCGGAAGACGCGGTCGGTGGTGTGGTTCACCGGCGGCGGCTTGATGTAGTTCTCCAGGAAGTAGAGGTCACAGTCGTACAGGCTGCGCAGGAGGTCACGGCTGGCGCCCAGCATGACGCGCCGGTCGGTGGGGCTCTTGCCCTGCGTGAAGCGCGGGATGAGCGTGTTCTGCACGTGGTAGAGGGGTTCAAACAGGTAGAAGACGTCCAGGTGCTGGTTGAAGAGCTGGCCCACGAAGGAGGAGCCGCTGCGCGTGGTGGCCAGGATGAGGATGTGGGTCTTGCGCGAGAGGTTGAAGGCAAAGGTGGGGCCCTCTTCGCACAGCCGTTCGGCCAGGCCCACCTCGGCTAGCCCCGGGCAGGTGTGGAAGGACTTGGCGGTGAAGGTGCGGATGGCCGTGTACTGGATGGCGATGGAGGCCAGGGCGAGGAGGAGGACAGCCTTCCAGGAACATTGCATGGCTGGGTACCTTCATGGGGCTGCTGCTTCACCGAGCGTGGTCTGTGGGCAGAGGCGAGCAGCCATCAGGAGCAGCCACGAGGGTAAGGATCTCTGGGGAGGGCTGATCTCCAGAGATGGGGGGAGGGGGGAGAACTGCCCAGGGCTGACCTACACACACTTCCCAAGGCCTAAGGGGGTTCCAGGAGCCCTGGGGGCAGGGGGGGGGGTTAGGGGGGATACAGGTTGGGCTGGGCTGCAAACTACAAGGTCAGCAGTTCGAAACTACCAGCCCCTCTGAGGGAGAAAGGTGAGGTTTTCTGCTCACAAAGAGTTACAGTCTGTGAAAAACCCCGGGAGCAGCTCTGGACTCTGCCGTAGAGGGTCGCTGTGAGTCAGAATCGATTCAATAGCAGGGAGTTACTGTGTGAGGCTGATTCTGGGATCCTTGAGTAAGCAGGTCCAGGGGTGTGGGGACCTCAATCCTCCAAGCACCCCACCCCAGCCAGCCCTCAAGGACCCCCATCTCTAGCCCAGCAGAAGCCAGGCAGGGCAGAGAGAGGAGGAAGGAGATGGAGCAGGAAGCTCCTCAATGGACAGGCCTAGCAGCCAGCCTCAGCTCCTTGCAGATGCCCTGAGGGGATGTTCCAGGTTAGCTCGTCCACTGGGGAGGGTGCTCCAGAAAGGAGGTGGCCACCACTAGACCACTTACCAAAGAGAGGCTGTTCCGAGCTGATGAGGAGTCCACAGCCGTCAGTGTCTCCTGGCCTGGTGGATAGCTGCAGCCTGTGTGGCCGCCCCGTGGCTGGCAGACTGCAGGAAGACAGGGAGGGGAGGAGTTCCTGGATGAGTGTGAGCTCCCAGCACCCCCCCACCCCCCCACCCCCTGCTTCCCCAGCCCTTCTGTCCTGTGCCCTGAACTTCACAGAAAGCCCTTAACCTTCCACTTGAGGCCACTGATCCCCAGGGCCTACTGCTCTCCTATCCAGGGCCAGGCTATGCGGGGACCACCGATGCGGGGGCCACCGATGGGCCATACGTGCTGGATCTCTGTCTGAGTCATGGGCAGCATGCACCCCTGGGGCTCCATCCTCCACCTCCACCCAGACCGTTCTAGCTGGCCAAGGTCCCTCTGCTGATAGCAGGACACAGTGGGGAGGGGGCCGGCAAGCCAGCACATCCACAGGAGACAGAGCTGGCACCCGCCATGGGCAACTGCCCAGGGAGGCACCCTCCCCGCCCGCACCCTCCAGAACCCCATAGAGTTGCAGAACCATCTATGTGCACCAATGCCTGGGCCTGGCTAGCTCTGTCCCAGCCATGGGGACCGTGCTGACCAGACGCCACCCAACAGCCAGCACTGAAGCCAAGGTTATGCCAGCAGGGCTGGCCCAAGCACAGGCCCACTGGTTCTGGGTATTAAACGGGCAGAAGCAGGTGACCTTCTACAATTGGACTTGCTCGGCAGTTCCCTGGGATGGGGGGAGTTCGTGGAAGTCAGCGAGGGAGGGGGAAGCTCACCCCAGACCTCCAGCGGGAAACGGCAGCTCCGTGGAGACCTGTCCAGATGCGGAGAGGGTGCTGCTCCCAACTACTCCGGACAGGAGATGGGCTACCTGCAACACAGAGCCAAAGGTGACCCCAGAGCCCTCCAGAACACGCCAGGGCGCTCTTCTGATCCAGGCCGGAAGCAGCAAGGCTGCAGCATCACCACAAGAATCGTGGACTGAGCCCAACCAAAGTCCCACACCCTTCGCTGCGCTTGCTCAGCTGGTCCTCACGAGAGGTGGATGAGGAGGCCAGGACTGGCTCCATTTCTCAGGTGAGGAAAAGGAGGGGCAGAGAGGGAGTCAATCCCCCACCTGAGCTACAGACCTGTTCTAATCCCAGTCTGGCGGGCTCCCCAGAGCCCACACTCTCCCCCTCGGTGAAGATTTCACTGTTAGGCCCTCAGGCTTACATGCTGGTGGCCTTTGAACATGCACTTGGTGAAGGTCCCCCTCTCAGTTGTGAGTGGGCCAGGGAGGGAGGTGGGTCCTGGAAGGGAGAGGCCGACAGTTCCTGGGAGTTACATCTGCTCCTTCCCTTTGCCCTCTGCTCTCCAGGATCTGTTTGATCAGGTGGGGCTGATGGGGCGGGCTCCCGTGTGTTGGGGATCTGCCCACCTCCAGCCTGACTCCAGGACCACCTCTCTCAGGACCATGTTATCTCCTGCACCTCCTTCTCTGTAAGCGCCCACCCTCCCCCACTGTTCGGAGGGAGGGAGGGAGGGGCAGAGATGAAGGAAATTTGCATAAGCTACTAAGAAGTAAGGAGCCCCAGTGGCGTTGTGGATGGGCACCCGGCTGCTAATTGAAAGGTTGGCAGTTCAAACCCACCAGCAGACTCCATGGGAGAAGCATGGGGCTGTCTACTTCCATCATGATTTGCAGTCTTGGAAACCCAATAGGGCAGTTGTACCCTGACCTTTGGGGGGACTATCACTTACAATCAACTCAATGGACCAGGTTTAGTTTGAATAAACTAAACCTAAACTCACCATGAAGTCCGTTCCGATACTGAATAAACCTACAGGCTAGAGTAGAACCAACCGCCC